GGACCACATTGCCTCTTACTAGGGGCACATGTACCTTAACCCCAGGTTCGAAGAAACCTGGTGCAAATACTTCCCAACCACTATCAAGGGTGTTGCACAAGCATGAATCACCAAGGGGGTGAAGGAAGGCTCAATAACCGGTTGGAAAGACCTTTCTACGGCGAACCGTCGAGAGAAAACGACTGTAGAACTGATGGGTCTGCAGCAAGGGGAGGACGAGAGCCTTCGAGATTACCTGACTCGTTTCAGTAACGAGTCGTCTAAAATTACAAGTCTGGACCAAGGGCTAGCCATTTTTGCACTGCGGAATGGCCTGCAAACTGGAAAGTTCCTTGACTTCATGGTCATGCATCCACCGCAAACCTTGGAAGAAGCTCTAGACGCTTCGAATAAATATATCCGAGCCGAAGAATGGAACAAAACCAAATCCCAGTTCCAATCCGGGGCTAGGAAGGCAAAAGGACAGCAGTCCGAGGGCTAGGGCTAGAGGAAAAGGAAGGCGAAAGCCTCAAAACCATCCTCGGCTCTTGAGCCGAAGAAAGAAAAAACCCCATTCACGGGGAGATATGAATCGTACACTCCTCTCGCCCTTCCACGTGCTAAAATCTATAGCATAACAAAGGACGAAGGGAGGTACAAGAAGCCAAGGCCACTCCTATCGTGGCATCAGCATAAAGGCAAGGACTAATGGTGTGAGTTCCACAAATCTCTTGGACATTATACCGAGGACTGCCTCCAACTGAAAGATCAGATCAAGGATATGGTCCAAAAGGGGTACTTGAAAAAATATCTCGCGGATCGCCACAAAGAGAAAAGAGCCGAAAAAGATCCTCGGCAAGATCTGGATTCCCCCCGAAAAAAGGACAAGCCGCAAGGCAAAGACAATCCTGATATCCTTGTCATTTCCGGAGGAACCTACTCTCGGAATGCGTTAAAACGCAACTTGAGGAGCTTGACCCATCAAGTGAATCATGCTGACACCCAAGCACCCTAATCTCCGGTGCCGAACATCACGTTCATGGCTGAAGACTGCTGGGGGTGGCATACCCCAATGATGACCCGCTGGAAACTGTTACAGGCATTGTGAACCACAACGTCTAGCGAACTCTCGTCGACGGTGGTAGTGGTGCGGATATCCTCTTTCGGGAAGCCTTTGACCAGCTAAAGTTGGAGACCAAGCACCTAACTCCAGTACCCTTCCCGGAATCTGGATTCAATGGTTCTTCAACATATCCTGATGGGAAAATTTCTCATCTTGTCACCATCGGCAAAGGTCGAGCAGCTCGGAATATCATGGTCGAGTTTTTGGTCGTGGACGTTCCGTTTGTGTACAACGTGATTATGGGGAGACCCATCATTCACGAGATTCAAGGAGTCGCCTCGACGTACCATCAGATGATGATATATGTCTCGGACGAGGGACACTCCGAAAGAATTCAGAGCAGCCAAAAGGAGGCCCGAAGATGTAACCACTTCAAGCCGTCCAAAAGTCGCCGCGGTGACAGGGATGATGAGGAGGAAAGGGAAAAGGACCGATGCGCAAAAAAGCCTAAGGGCTTAAGTGCTTCAGCCCAAGGCACCCCAACACAAGAAATATCTTTGGGGAAAGAAAAAGCTGGTTCATCATCTAAGCCGAAAGAGTCAGAGCACCAGCAGAAGTTTAGAAAGCCTGCTGATATTGACAGCATGCCAGATTGTGAAGAGTCATGTTCCAAAGCTATGGAATTGGACCATCAGACTGAATCAATAGAGTTGGCCGAAGGGGATACTAAAAAATGTGTCACCATCGGGCTTGGACTTGATCCGAGCGTCCGCGTTGAACTTATCCACCTCCTTCGGGAAAACAAAGATGTGTTCACTTTCTCGGCAGCCAACATGCCAGGGATTGACCCGAACCTCATCTCTCACAAGCTTAATGTCGACCCCACATGTCAACCAGTTAAGCAAAAGAAGCAGAATTACTCACTACCTCCTACTCGAAAAAAGTTGCCTATGAAGTAGTGGTAGCCGCTCGAAAGCGTAGGCCCTATTTTGATTGCCATCAAATAGTGGTCTTAACAGATCAGCCGCTGGAAAAAGTCCTTGGCAATGTTGAAAAATGTGGTAGGCGCAAAGTGGGCCTTTGAGCTCACTGAGTTCAGCATCAGCTACCAGCGGAGAGCAGCCATCAAGGCTCAGGCCTTGGCGGACTTCCTGGCTGAGTGTTCTTATCAAGAAACACTAGACAAGAAAAGAAAGTGTGGACTGTTTTCACGGATGGATCCTACACCATAAATGGTCCGGGGGTAGGGGTAGTCATAACCTCGCCCGAAGGCAAGTCCTTTGAATATGCACTGAAATTCTCATTCAAAGCTTCAAATAATGAAGCCGAATATGAAGCAGCAATTGCTGGCTTAGAATTGTGCATAGCATCGGAAGTCGAGCATGTCTGTTTAAAGACAGACTCTCAGCTCGTCGTAAACAGATCCGAGGTGAATATAAGGCCAAAGAGCGCTCAATGATAGCTTACCTTGTAAAGATCAAAACAGTTATTGCGAAGCTGAGAACCCTTGAAGTCCAGCTGATCCCAAGGGGTTAGAATGCACAAGCCGACGAACTCTCCAAACTTGCAAGTTCAACTCTAATTGAGCTGAACCGATCTGTATATGTGGAGGTGCGCCGAGAAAAAGTGTGGACAAAGCACATGAGATATGTTGTGTCGCACATGAGCCGAGCCGGATGGACCCCATCCTAGCTTACAAGCTTCGGGGAAATATTCCCGAGGACAGGAACTTAACCTCCAAACTAAAGAGAATCAGCTAAAGGTTCATCTTCTTCAGAGGAGAGCTGCTGAAAAAATTCTTCTCAGCCCCACTACTGAAATGCATGGGACCAACAAATCCTGACTACATCCTTCGGGAGATCCATCTCGGCATCTGCGGAAACCACATCGGGGGAAAAGCCTTAGCCCACAAGGCATTGAGGGCTGGGTATTATTGGCCCACCATGATCCTAGATGCTAAGGAGCTGGTAAGAAAATGCAAAAATGTCAAAAATGCGCACCAGTCATCCATCAGCCAGCCCGAGATCTTCAACCGATCCTGAACCTGCTTCCATTTTCTCAATGGGGGCTCGATATCTTAGGGTCGTTTCCCGATGCTCTTTATCAAAAAAGATGGCTGATAGTCGGCATTGACTATTTCGGTAAATGGATAGAGGCCGAAGTAGCCTCGAACATCACAGAGCAAACTGTCAGGAAGTTCATCTGGCAAAACATTATCACTCGCTTTCGGAATTCCGAAGGTCTTTGTCTTCGATCATGGGAGGCAGTTTGATAATTTTCCGCTAAGTGCGGTACACTGATCAGTTCGGCATCAAGTTGGCATAATCCGCATTATGTCATCCGCAGAGTAATGGTCAAGCTGAATCTGCGAATAAACAAATCCTCAACGTTCTCAAGAAGAGAGTTGAAGATCAATAGTCTAAGTGGATAGAGGAACTTCCAAAAACCCTCTGGTCACTTCGGACGATTGAAAAAGAGGCAACGGGCATTCACCTTTTTGAATTGGTGTATGGATCGAAGTCGTTCTTCTAGTGGAATTGGCACAGAAAGTCTACGAGTAAATCTCTTCTCGACTAAAGAAAATGAGCAACTCATGAAAGAATCCCTTGACTTTCTAGACGAGGTTAGAGATTCGGCCCAAGACAGAATGACTGCATATAAGCAAAGAATCAACAAATTTTACAACCGAAAGAGTCTGTGTAAGACTTCTCAAATTGGGGATCTTATCCTTTGGAATGCTGCAGCTGTTGCAAAAAGGCCGCATTCATGGGAAACTCTCAGCCACTTGGGAGGGACCCTATGAAATCTATGATGTACTTCAGCCTGGAACATACACTTCGGCAGTTGGGGGGAACTGAGCTGAAAAACCACTAGAACGCAGATGTGCTTAAGAAATATCATGTGTAAAGCAGAACAATCTATGTAAGTGCATCTTTCTGATTAATGAAAGGCCTTTGAGCCACCATTTCTTTAAAATTTAGCAAGTTTCTATTTTTCAGTCTTCGATGTTTTTTTGAAAAAATTCAAGGTTTTCCTTCGGCGCTGTTCGAAGTATTGCTCACCAGCAGCATTGTACTTCGGTAAGCCGTCAAACCTGCCGAGCCGAGGATATATGATTTCACCCCCGAAGTATTGCCTAATGAGGCATTGTACTTCGGATGAATCAGTTCCTCCGTGGATGAATCCAAAACATTGCCTTAAAAATAGGAACAATGATTGCACCCCTAAAGTATCACCCACAAGAGGCAAAGTACTTCGAATGAATCAGTTCCAGGAACAAGGATTTCTTCCCCGAAGTATCGCCCACCAGTGGCAATGTACTTTGGATGAATCAGTTCCCTAGCATTATTTTTTGGATAGTCATTCCCTCGGATGAACTATAAGGATCAGGAAAATATCGTTCTTGGATTCTAAGACTTCAGAACAACGAAAATCATATCCTTCAAAAATAAAGTAGAAGAGAAAAGAAAAAGAGCAAAAACTTCAAAATCTGAATTGTTACAAAAATTTTGCCAAGGCAAAAGCCTCGGCTGAACTGAAAAAGTTGAAGCAAGTACTTTAGAAACCTGAAAATTACAACTCCAAATTTTCTCGGAGGGCAAGAAGTCCTCAGCTAGAAAATATTTGCAGGCCAAAGCTCAACACTTAGAAATTTTTTTGAAAAAGTTCAAAGAGAAGCTAAGTAAAGAGTGCAAGGCAATGGAAAAAAAGGAGCAAATCAAAGCATCAATAAAATTCAAACTAAGAGTTTCAAGTTAAGTACAAAGAAACATCCTAAATCGGCAGTCTCCCACAAGCGGAAAACACAGCTGCTGAACTAAGTACAAAGTAAACAAGAATAAAAGTTTATACAATTCAAGGCAAGCTGAAAGCAAAAGAAAGGCAAAAGCAGATGCGGTAGAATTAGCAGTTAAGCACAAGTGGATCCGCATGACTCTGAAGACGACTGCCCGCATCCCTATGCTTCAGCATCAGCAGAATCAGGTTGAGCAGTTGGGCCCTTGGAACTTCCAGCACCAGCCGAAGAGGAAGCAGGATGAGGTTCTTTCTTTTTGGCTTCTTCAGCTTCCCTCTCAGCCTGAGCCTCAGCCTCGGCTTGACGAGTGAGGAAAGCAACCTCAACATCGTGGGCAATGTGCAATTAGGGTGGCTAGGATCCATTGACCACCCTTCAGCTGCATCCCAGTTGATGCTTGGATCAGCATGAAAAGCCAGGCGCCGAGCTACCTTAAAGCCATTATCAAAACCCTCGTCGTATTGATCTTAGGTATAGATTCTGACTTGCAGCAGCTTTTGGGCAGCCTCAAGATTAGCCTGGGCCTTAGCAGCTTCATCAGTCTGCACTTCCAGCTTCATCGGTCTTGGCCTTAGAAAGTTCTGTATCTTTGGCTTCCACACTACTACATTTTAGACCTAATACAACGGATTTTTTCGTTGTATTAGGTGTTAAAAAACCGTTGTATTAGACCTAATACAACGGCTAGCAACCGTCACATTTGCTAGTGTTGGATTAGGTCTAATACAACGGTAAAATGGACCTAATCCAACGGATTGAGAAATCCGTTGGATTAGGTATCTACCTAATCCAACGGATTGCTCAATCCGTTGGATTAGGTTCCTTTTTTTTTGGAATACCTGAACCTAATACAACGGATTGCTCCCCAATCCATTGTATTAGGTCTTTCTATCCGTTGTATTAGGTCTTTTTTTTCTTTTTATTATTATTATTCTTATTAATAATATTATTATTAATATTAATATTATTATTATTATTATTATTATTGTTATTATTATTATTATCATTATCATCATTATTATTATCATTATTATTATATTGTTCATAAGTGACCAGATTGTCCAAGTCCAGAATTGATCAATGTCTTCTTAGTTTGCATCTTAATTTTGGTATTGTATCTCTATCACATTTTCTAAGATAAGAAAATATGAAAAAAGATCTGAAAATTTGAAAACCGAAAAACGAAAAAAATTGAAAAAAGATCTGAAAATTTGAAAAAAAAACAAAAAGTAGATCTGAAAAACGAAGATCTGAAAAATTGAAAAACGAAAAACGCAGATCTGGAAATCAAAAAATGAAAACGAACATACCAGATCAAGAATTCGAAAAAACCAAAAAACGAAAATGAGAAAAACGAAAACATGAAAATAGTCAAAACGAAAACAAGAAAACGAATGAAACCCAGATTAAAAAAACTAGAAAAATTAAAAGAAAAACCCAGAAATACAAAAAAAAAAAACCCAAAAAAATCAAGAATTCGAAAAAACCAACAAAAAAATCCAAAAAAGAAAAAAAATCTAGAAACTAAAAAAAAACCAGAAAAACGAAAAAAAAACAAGATCTGAAAAACGAACGAAAACTTGAAAAATTGAAAAATCTGAATAATAGAAAAATCTGAAAAATTGAAAAATCTGAAAAAATTGAAAAAAGATCAGAAAAACGAAAAACAAGTAGATTTGAAAAAACGAAAAAAAAAATAGATCTGAAAAATGAAGAAAGATCAGAAAAACGAAAAAAAGATCAAAAACGAAAAAAGATCAGAAAAACAAAAAAAAAGTAGATCGGAAAAATGAAAAAAAAAAAAGGAAAAAAAGATCAGAAAAACGAAGAAAAACAAGAAACAATAAAAAAAGCAGATCTGAAAAACGAAAACAAGAAACAATCCATAAATAAAACTGAAAATACCTTATAGACAAGAAACAATGAGAGAACGAGAAGTGGACGCAAAGAGCTTCTAGAAATGCAATGCGAGAGAGAGAACGAGAGAATGAGAGAGAGGGTAGACTGAGAGAGAATGAGAGAGTTGTACTGTGGCGAGAGAGGCGAGAGAGAGAGAGAGTAGACTGAGAGAGAATGAGAGAATAGAGTCGAGAGAGAGGGAGGGATTTAATAAATGCCTAAGTAAAAAAAAGCCCAAGTTTGAGGTCTAAAACAACGGTTGCCTCATTCCGTTGTATTAGACTACTCAATCCGTTGTATTAGCTCGTCTAATACAACGGATGAGTTTATCTAATACAACGGTTAGTATGAACCGTTGTATTAGACCTGTTTTAGTATAAACCGTTGTATTAGCCTAGTCTAATACAACGATATGAAATTAGCCGTTGTATTAGCTAATTTTGTACCATTGTATTAGATAAAAAATGTAGTATTGCAGCCAGCCAATCCTTCAGTTGCTGAACCTCAGCCTCAAGCTCAGATTGCCTCTACTTTGCTTCAGTCTCGGCCAAAGCAGCCTTCTCATTAAAATCCTCGGCCAGCTTCAGATTCCTTCTGCATCTTTTGCTCGATTTGAGTCTTGACGCAAGGAATATTCACAGCCCCACACTCCTGTATCAAGGCCTGACCTTCGTTAATCTAAGGAAAGATGGACTGCTCTATTTCCCGGTAGAAGTTGCAAAAGCTGGTAGCCATGGCATCCATCTGAGCTCGGCACGCAGCGGATTCTTCCTCTACCTTTTGGCTCTTCAGCTCGGCACTCAGATTCTTCGGCCTTTTCTGCCTTGCCCTTCAACTCCATGTTCATTCCCATAGCGAAAAAATGGTTATGAACGACCTACAAGGTTTAAAAAAAATTAAGTGAAAAAAAAAATCTTAAGTAAAAAATTTTAAGCATGAGCAAGTTTACGTGCAACAACATTTTCCGATTCTCAACAAATGGGTCTGGAACCCTCACAAGGGGCTTAGACACCCCAGCTGCAGCCCGAAGGGACAAGACCTTCACCTTCTCCAATTCGGACAAGCCAGACAAGTCACCGAAGTACTCAATTGCTGAGGCTCGGTGAGAAAGAAGAGCGTTCCTAGCAGCATCTGGAACAACCGATAGTGGGGCAGACTCAAACCCCATCTCAGAAGACTGGAAGGTCTTAAAGGAGTTTCCAACTGAAGTTGAAGGAACGTCAAAGTTCTTCGCTTCTTCAACTCTTTCCTCGGCCTTCTTAAAATATTTGGGCCTCCCATCCAATATCTGCACATCATCATCCTCGGGCTGGATGATCAGTGCATCAGCCTCCTTCCGAACCTCATCAACAAAAGGTTCGGCTATGTGCCGAGGAGATGGTGAGGAATTTAAATTTGGGGGAGTCCTCTACTGAACTTCCTCATCCCGAACCTCGGGAGGAGGAGGAGTCTTCTCTTTAACATCCTCGGTCGGGTCTTCACCTAGCCGAGGTCTCTTAGCAGCAGGTTCGACAGCTTGAAACTGCCCAGGGTTTATAATAGCTCTTCTTCTCCTTTGACCTGCCATTTCTTCGGCGGAAGACTCGTCCGAAGAAGATGTTTGCCTTGTTGGCTCTCCTCTGTCTTCTTCTTCTTTGGCAAACTACAGCAGAAAAGACAGTGGGGCAAAGAGCAGTATGAGCATCATCAAAAAAAATTTCGAGCCAAAGCCTTCAAAATTCAAAGAAAAAGCTAAGTAAAAAAGAGCAAGGCAATGGGAAAAAGGAAGAAAGGAGAGAAAGGTTGAGGCTCACTGAAGTCTTCAGCAATTACCCGTTCAGCACTTCAACCACGAAGGAGTGTAGAGGATACCGAAGCCCGAACTGCAGCTACCTGGTATACACCCCAATGTAACCAGGAGGGGAGCGATGAATCCTGTCCTCAGCAGTGGGCATTCGGCACCAATATCCATCCTCTTCCATAATGCTGTAGAAAACTCTATTTGTTCGGCCAGGCAATGGAGAACACTCCCTTTGACCCACTAATCATACGTAGCGGTGGTCATCAGCCCATAACTTCGAGGGGGTTAACTCACTCTGAGGCCCCAGCTGGCAACTCCCGGGGTCCAGTTGCCGAAACGCTGCCGAAAGTGCTAGCTTCTTCCGAGCCTCGGAATGGCACCGACGTCAACGACACTGCAACAATAGGAGCCTCACCCGAAGAAGCCCTAGTTTCCATCTCGGGACGTGGGATTCGGTTGCTCAAAGGCGGTATCGGCCCAAGTGATCAATTGCGCCGAGGAAGTAATTGAGGAGTTTCCTCTTCCTCTTTAGCAACTACTGGTCTCTTGCCTCGATTTTGAACCATTTTTGTGCGAAAAATCGAGAAATCGGGAAAAAGGGAATGCTTTAAAAAATCAAAGAAATCCGAACAAGTTTCGGAGAAAATTACCTCTATCGGAAGCGAAATTCGCCGATCTATAAATTCGGAGCAACGAACTTAGGTCCCGAAATGCAGAGAATACTCGGAAAAAGGAAAGCGTTTGTCAAGGGTTGATTAGCGAAGGACGGAAGAAAGAGTTTGCAAGAAATGAGGAGAGAGAGTGGGATGAGTGGTTTAAATAGGTTTTCCAAAAGTGAGAATTCCTGAAGTTAGTACCACTAAAAGCCCCACTAACTCCACTTAAATGCAACCGTTAAACACCTTCCCTAATTAATTACCCACTAAACCTTTCATCTTCCCTAATTACTCTCTAAACGGCAGTTACTACCTCAATAACTACCCAAATTCAAATTTTAATTAAACCATTTACTTCCTCCATTTTGCAAGTCAAAACCCGACCCGTTATGATTCCGAATCGGGTCCGGGGGCAAGTTGTTTGGATCCAATTCAATCCAATTGGCCCAATCCAAATGCTTTAATTACAAAGCCCAAAAGTAAGGTTCAACTCTCTCAAGCATGCCAAGTCAGCCAGGCCCAATCAGCATGGCAAGCCCATCTGACTTCACGGCCCAGTTCACCTATTTGAGCAAGGTATAAAAGCCCTCAATTATCTCATTCAGAAGATATTCAATTCAGGCCTTAAGCACAAATTCTCTTACATAGCTTTCTCTCTCAAAACATTGTACTGACTTTAGCATCGAGGGGTCTTCCTCAGCACAACCCCCGAGGCTAGTTTACGTGTGTTTGCTGTGCAGAAAATCCTCGGCCCGGTCATCACTTGGACCGAGATCAGTCTTCTCCCACCGAAAAGGACCAGCCGAAGGTCCTATTGTTTTCAACTAAAACATTTCTTATTTTTGTATTTTTTTTATAAATTATACGTTCGATGTTTGTTGCAATTTATTTATTTTTGCTTCTGGGTAGTATTAATGGAGTTATAAATTTCTGGGTTGTTATTGTATGATTATTTTATTTAATATATATTGATAGGTTTTTGTTGTAGCAACACGAGGAATTTGAATTTAGGGTTTTTGTAAAGTATACAATCACCGTTTATTTGATTTTTGGGTTTTGAAGGTGCGCTGAACTTGTTATTGGTGATTTGGGTGTGGAATGTTGCGCAATTTGATCATTTAGAAGTTGATTTGGGTATGTTTTGCGCACTTTGTACTGTAGCTCTGAATTGGGATATTGAAATTTCCGCTATACTTCTGGTGGGCAGTCTGGGCACTGTTCATTTGACTAGCCATTATGGCAGTTTAGCTTTTGGTTTATGGAACTTCATTGTTAGGAGGAAATTTCGAAACGTTTATTACTAATTTGATGGCGAGTATAGATGTTAAGTTCCTGATCTTTGCCGCTCATCCTTGTAGAATAGCTTCTGTATTCTTGATTGCCTCGTAAGTCAGTAACGGTGATTATGGTTTGCATTATTTCTACTCTAGGTTTTCTTTGGTATGTTTTCGTGACTGTAATTACCGGTCTTTTTGTGATTGGAATTACAGTGCCTCGTTGTCTTCGATGTAGCTGTATTTCCTTAAGTTACAGTAAACAAGAATTTATTAAAGCCTTCTCGTAACATGTGCTGTAATTGCTGTATTTTCCTGTTTAGTGTTAGTTTCAAATAGAGTTCTGGATATCAATACCCCTTTCAAGATTTAGTTTCTGAAAAGGACTTACTTTTTTTGGCTAAGCATTTGTTTTTTGAAGCTAATACCCTTAATTGGTATTCATCACGAATCTCTCCTTTTACGAGATTCTTTTCCTTGGTCGGACCAGCCTAACTGGTGATTTCTGACAAGTCGTTTATGTGTTTCAACTTAATATTCCTTTGTTATCTCTCGATATTTTATTTGTTTCAAAAGGAAACGATTCCGGTGCGAGTGTGTGACTGATTGTGTGGCAACCAACTAGGTTTTTGTACTGTAGTTGATGACCCTCAGTTGTTAGTTATAATGTTCAACTAAAGAAATAACACAAACATTAGGTGGCTTCCTGGTAGAAATTTTTGATGCTCAAGTCGATAGCGAATTACATATATGTACAATATAGAGAGCTCCTCGGATTAATGTATGCGATGGTGAGGATTGTATAGTATGGCTTCATGATGGATTATCCATCCCTTGAAATGGTGGTTTCCTAGACTCCTGGGCCTTGTGTTAAAAATGGGCTTCTGAGTCCTCTATGGGGATGGGGGTTAAGACGTCAAGTCTTAATTTAGTACTCCCTCTGTCTCGTAATATAGTTTCTGCTTTTCTATTTTGGAGATCCAAAATATTGTTCCTGTTTTTATTTTTGGATAGTATGTAAAGAATATTATACCATCACTTTTTTAACATTATTCACTGTACTTCCTAACTTATCCTTAAATTTTGCATATATTCATGTAGTTTTGGATAGTATGTAAAGACTATTATACCATCACTTTTTTAACATTATTCACTGTACTTCCTAACTTACCCTTAAATTTTGCACATATCATGTATTTTTTCCACTTTCTCTCTCTTAACTTTTTGTTTATAATTGTACTTTTCACTTTTATCAATGTCCTTCATCCACTTTCTCTTCCTATTTCTTAAATACTGGAAAAACCACAAATAGGAACTATATTATGGGACGGAGAGAGTAGTTGTTTGGCATAGGACCAGTATGATGATGACTCTGCATTTGGAACACATGCTTTTAATCTCTGTTGATTTTCTGATATGCAAAGAGCAGAAATGGTAGAATAGTTATAATTAATGTCAAGATATGATAAATGAGAGTCAAGTAAGCTTGTATGAAAAATGTAAGCTAATTGTGTCTATGCATTATTAGGATATTGATGGAAGGTCAACTATATACCTTGCACGGTCTTAACTTGGATTTTCAGTTTGATCTACTCTGAAGAGCCCCGAAAAACAGTGCTTCAGTGCTTAGACCAGAATTTCTAGTTAGGAAAATAAATTTTAAGACTTGGCTTTTGCTTCGGTGTTTGGTTTTGCGGAAATCATTTAGGCAATATATGGAAAGTGGTTTATATGCTTGATATTATTGAAAATACATATTGTCTGGGTTTGAGGAAGCCTAACATAGAAATTTTGATATGTTTTGGGAAGGAGGTAGTACTATTTTTTTCCTGTTAATGACCTTGTTCATTGGGAGTGAATATTTCTCCCTTTGGTGAGAAACTGAGAATATAGCTTTACGAGAATTTTGTAAAGATATAACATACCGACTGATTGGTTACACCTGTCATATATATATTTTAAGGGTTTATAGTCTTTTAAACTATAAAAGCCCTAGAGTTCAAGATAAAGCAAGAGCTCTCTTTGATAGTTGGGGATCTAAGGATGTTGATCTCAAAAGTATGGATGTAGAGAAGGCCCCAGTTTATAATGATCCGAAGTTAGATAATCAAAATGATTCAAAGTTAGATAATCAAAATGATCCAAAGGTAGATACTCAAAATAATCCAAAGGTAGACAATCAAGATCTTGAATCTCAGTTCACTACAAATAATGGCTCCCCAACAAAATCCTATGGCAATCATAAACCACGTCTTTTTAGACCGGAAAAATATTTCTTCCCTGTGCTCAATCATATTTTCAGCCTGAAAAAATGAAAGTAAATGTACATGTCAGCAATGATGGAAAGTTCAATATATCTGGATTCTGAGATAAGATGCAGAACATTAGTGGCCAACAAGTAGTAACATAATGGAATTAGTTAGCTTTAAGATAATCTGTTAAACTTATACTCAAACTCCTCGCAATGATTTAGGATATGATATTCAAGCAAGTTCATAATTTCATAAAGAACGTGAGAAGACCAAAATCTTCCATATTTTTTTATAGCAATCCTCTAGGATGTTAAATCCAAGCATGTCAATTAATTTACAACTTATCAAAAACTTCAAAGTTAATTAGTTTATGAAGATGCAATTTTTCATAAGTTAATCCATAAAAAAAAGTCACAATTGTTGATGCTAGGACAATAAATCATCAAAGTCAAGAAAATTTTATGCAAATTCAAACCACACTAACACTGCATACAATGCTTCAATGGATAGATCAAGCTATTACATTCCTGAAGTTCTATATTTAATTCACATTCAGACACAGTATTTAATTATGGATTTTATGGACTTCTGATAGTTGATATAGTGTGTTTTCCAATCACTACAAAATTCATGATCTGGTTGATAATTACCAAGCCAAAAACTCCAATTTGCAAACAATTTGACATCAAATGGATGTGAGGGGGTAGTAGTGTTGCCATGCAGAAAGAAACAAAGCATAAACAAACCTTTGCTGCTTCCATCTCTGCTTTTCTCAAAGCCATTTCTTCTTTCTCTTCTTGAAGAATAGTAGCAACCTGATCTTCCATCTGCTCAATTGTTTGCGCCCACTTATTAATTGAATCTTCAGCAACAATTCTGCTCTTTAACCTAGAACCAGCCTTTTTAGCAATGGCTTTTAGTAGAGAGCGATCATTATCAGTGACAAATGTGACTGCGTATCCTTCCCGACCAGCTCTTGCTGTACGACCCACTCGGTGTACATATGTTGTGAGATCACGAGGACAAGCATAATTAATAACTGTCCGAATCCCAGCTATGTCAAGCCCTCGAGCAGCAACATCTGTTGCAATCAAGAAGTCTACTTCCTGTTTTCTGAAAAGCTCAAGAGAATCAAGACGCTGCGCTTGTGTAAGATGGCTATGAAACTCGGCTGCTTTTAAGCCTGCTAATCCAAATAAGATCTTCAACCTATGAGCAGCAAGCTTGGTTCCACTAAAAATGATTACTTTGGATGTGAATGTTTTTGAGCATAATGCAAGAAGCACTGCCTCATAATGTGCTTCACGAATTCTTCTTATTCTCACAACCTCCTCAGTCAAAGCTGCTGGTCGTTGGGCAGACGGATCAGCTGACAACCGTAGTGGTTTCTTTAAGGATAGTTTGACAAGCTCTGCAACCTCTTCAGTCATTGTGGCAGAAAACAGCATTGTCTGCCTCCGTTTTGAACACATACGGACGAGTTCCTGGATCTCAGCATTAAATCCAAGCTCCAAAAGTCGATCAGCCTCATCAAGAATCAAGACAGCAAGATCATCTAGATCCACAGACATTGAATTACGTAAATGGTCAATCATACGCCCTGGAGTTGCCACAACGACATCTGGCATCGACCTTAATGCAGCCTCTTGCACCTGAGTTCATTTATAATGTCACTCAGTTATGACAGATATAGAAAAGAAGAAAGACATCTATAACAGCCAAAACCGGAGATAGTTGAAGCAATGAAAAACTTTCAATGTTTTCCGTAGTAGAAGTATTTAGTGAAATTATGGTTATTTCCATTTGAACAAAGGAAGTCACATTAAAATATCAAGAGGACTGAAACACACACATGCGTAAACAACCAGCACAAGCATGTAAGGGTCGCAGGCTCATAGTAAAATTCACACTTGCACACATTTCAGATAAGGACCCACTAAAATTGTAAAACCATTGCATCAAACCAATCTCAATCAGGGGACAAACTACTTTGAAATGTAAAATGGCAAACAACAGACATGATAGATTAATTTTACCAAAACAGAAAAGAGCCAATAAGAAAGTATCATAACCTTATTTGATAGCCCACCAACAATCAGGCAGCATCTTATATCTGTAAATTGAGCAAGTTTTTCTATCATACTGTGAACCCTGAAAAGCCACATCAGAGCACTAGAGTGAGAAAAAAAAAAAAGAACACTATATGTTTGAGAAAGTTTACAATTACGAATCAAGACAAAAAAGAAACATGTAAAGGATATACACAAAATTATGTTCCACAAAGGCCAGTATCTTAGGGACTCGTTTACTGCAAGTAAAAGGCAAGAAGAAGTGGAAGACAACCCTCAAAGACTTTAAATGTCATACATTGTTAAAATTCTTTGGAAGCTACAAGCTTTTTCTATAAGATGGACTAAATCACAAGTCCATGGAAGAAATAACAAAAAGGTATTCTGTTTCAGTCTGCTTTTAAGTATTTTGATAATCAGGGATTCACTCAATCCATTGATTACAAATCCAATTAATGAATGGGAATATATATAATTTTATTAACTTAACAAGGAGAAAGGAACTTTGTTTGAGGATATTGCAACATAGCAACAAGGATCCTGATCTCAGAGACAAAGAAGTATTTCTTATGATACTTTTCTGGTGCATTATTCACAAAATATACCACCAAAAACGAGCACTATATCCTGTGCTCCTTACACCCCACAAAACCTTTGGGCGTTCTCCCAATTCTTTAAGGCAAAAAAATTTAGAAGTGATATTATGGTGGAGTTTTTATTATAAAAAAAATGAATATTAGTGTAAAGGTAATTGAGACCAATACTGAAACTGTTTTTATTATAGAAAAAATGAATATTAGTGTAAAGGTAGTTTTAATCTTATTTTATCAAGTAAAGAATATGTACAGGAAACTTTTTATAAATGGTGGGCAAGGAAAACAATACTGAAAACTTTTTTAAGGGGAAAACATTAGTGTAAAGGTAATCGAGACCAACAAAAATGAAAATTAGGACAAGTTTGTGGTACAATTGTACAAGGATAGTATATCACTATACAAGTATACATTATGCATAGATGCTTCAACATTTTGACAATCCTTTTTCCAAATAGGATTGAATTTCACACACAGGCAATACTTTGTTTTCGCTTTAACAGATTTTTATAAAATCAAAGATGCTGGAGGAAAAGAATAATAGCAAGGCAGCACTCTTTTAGTTTCTAATGCCTATATAAACATGCACCAAACCTCATCTTACACAGTTACACTTGACCACAACGATTACAGCAATGTTCAATGTGTCATCTGTAATGTTAGATCAGGACATGTTATTCATGACTATTTGATATCCTTTAAATTGAATTCATTAAGCATATAAACACATGCTTATGAAAATATACATTCAATATAATAAGGAAGAAAAGAGTTCCTCAGTTTTGTAGTTTGTTGATGTAAGTTATTAGGTTTACAGAAATAAAATCTTCTTGATGACCAAAAAAATGGAGTTAGTAGTGAAACTTACTGGACAGCTAGCTCCCTTGTAGGAGTAAGAATAAGAACCCTAATTGCCGGCACACGCTTTGGGCGGTATAACAACCTCTCCAAGGTTGGCAATGAAAAAGCTGCGGTCTACAGAAGCCGAACAGAGAGAAATATAAATAACAATTATATCCAAACCCATCATATTTCCCCCCAACAAAAGAATAATGCACACAAGAGCAACCCTTGAACAATTCCAAATATTACCAGATTCCAGTACTAGAAAGCATCCTTAAACAGCAGCAATCAGCTAGCTACAATCAGATTCTTCTTTTTCTTTTCTTTTATATTAAGTCAGTCTAAGATAAATCCAATAACAAACAAAGTCCAACCTTTTTATAAAGTTTTTATTTTAGAATTAAGAGCTTGTTTGATATCGTGTTTCTAAGGGGTGGAAGTGGAACCAATTAACCATTTACCAAGTGTTTGGTATGAAAGGTAGGATAACACACCCTATTTCTCAAAGGTAACCATTAATTCCTTCCTCTCTTTAGGTATATCGAACATCTAATAATGGTAGCACTTCCTTCCTTTCTTTAGGTATATCGAACATCTAATAATGGTAGCACTTAACAACATTACCCCTTCCTCTTATTATTCGTTTCCATTCCACTTCCTTACCTAGATTCAAATCAAACAAGCACTAAAGGGAGCTGCAATCATGAATTCCAATCTTTTCAACAATTAACCTAAATCAATGAAATAAATCAACGATTTACCTTCCCAGAACCGGTTATTGCACTCGCACAAATATCACGCCCGGCCATTGCCAATGGTATACAAGCAGCCTACAAACAATGCTTCCATTTTCAGTCATATCACAAATTCATTTGAGCTAATAATTATAGTAAAATCCTAGAAATTCATTTAAAAAAAAAAAAAAAAAAAATTGCTCCTAAAAAAACCTGGATTGGTGTAGGCTTAGAGTACCCTAACGCTTCGCAAGCTCGAAGCAACGGCCTCGAAAGATTAAGCTCCAAAAACGATTTAGCTTGATAGGAAACACCTTCAGCAGCTGCAAAGAAAGGTTTATCACTTTCAACAACATCGTTTTCATCATCATCTCCTTTCTCAGCCTTGTAATCCTCCTAATAAAATTATCAACCATTATCAAATTTACAATTGAACTGAAATTGAATTGAAATACAAAACAGGAAGAAAAGGAGAATGAAATAGTACTTGTTTATTGGATTCGGAGTCGGAGTCGGAGTCGTTAGGGTTAGGGAGAGAGACGGCGCGCTGTTGACGAAGCTTGTGGATTTTTTGGTCGACTGAGGTGGTGTGACGGCGGGCGTGTTCTTCAGCGACGGCTTCGGAGTAGGCGGCGAAGTCCCAGGCAGATTCGGAGGCATTATCGTCGCCGGAATGAATGTCGTAACCCATTATAGTAGCTCTGTGAACAAACGTTGAAGAGGGTTTTTGTGTTAGTTTTCTAGGGTTTTAGAAGTAGAATAGGAAAATTTGTTAAATAAAACTTTTTAAATGCCTTATTTTGAAAGAAAAAACCTTTTAAATAGAAGTGATCATTAGGCGGGTCGGGCCGAAGTTAAAAAATTATGTCCACTTCTCGGGCAGGGCTAGGTCGGGTCAAGCTTGGGGCCAGAATTTTTGTGCCCAAATCCGCCCAAAATGGTTGGGCCGTGCGGGCTTTTCGAGCCAGGCCTAAAAAATCAACTAAATATGCATAAAAACGCATTCCCAAACCCGCCAAAAAAAATAAATTTTCGAGCCGAGCCAGGCCCTACCCGATTTCGGGCCAAAATTATCTGCCCAAAATCGGGCCGGGCTAATTTTGATCACCTTTACTTTTAAACGATTCTTTGTTTAAAAAAATCACCACGATCACTTTTTTTGTTTACTGAAACCTCACCCTTCTTTTCCGGCATTGACTCTAACTTTCAGGCGTTGACTCAAGATTTTCCCTACTTACACCCAATTGTTTTTATATTTGCACTCCCTCTTTATATTTCCCTCTTATTTTCCCACCAAAGTCTTTCCCATGTATTCTCTCTCTCCTTTCTTCCATGAATGCTCTGCAACACCATCACATCAAATTGGGTTTCTCTCTCTCTCCTCTGCTGCGCCGTTCATACTTCAAGTCTTCAACCACAACCTGAGGTAAGTGTAAATTCATCAATCCTTGACTCGAAATAGAAAAAAAAAATTAGTGCTTTTTTTAAACAATTGAAAAATTCAGGTTCGTTTGGTTTTCAATGGCTAAAGGAGGAAGAAAGGGGACGTTTGGATGCAAAACAAGGTTTTCTAATTGCGTAGTTAAGTACAAACTCAGGTAAGTTCTTCAAATTCGTACTCAATTGCAGAATTCGCGTTTAAATGATTAGGGTTTATCAGAATAATTCGACTAAAAATAAACTCAATTAACCTAATTGTTGCTGGTTATTTGGTGATTTTGAACTGTGATGCTTAAATATAACTCACAAACTTGCTTGAATTGTTGAATTTCTTCACTAAAATTGTTCAATTGTTGCCCTAATTTGTTGAATTTCTGCAATTTTATTTGTTTTGGTGTGTTTGTCAGTGTTAATGGTAGAGTGAATTAGAGAAGACACATGAGAGCTAGAGTGAGTGCTACAATGGTGAATTAAGCACTACAATTGTTGAAGAACCTTAATTTACCTATCAATTCATATGATTTGGAGGAGATTTGCCCTAATTTTTCGTTGAAATGATTTGTCCTAATTTTTCGTTGAAATGATTTGGGGATATTTATAAAGGGGAAATTAGGGAGCCAAAAAAGAAAAAAAAGGGAAAAATACCCAATAGTGGCTACAAGTAGGGAAAATCTTGAGTCAACGCCTGAAAGTCGGAGTCAATGCCGGAAAAGAGGGGTGAGGTTTCATTAAACAAAAAAAATGATCGTGGTGGTTTTTTTTAAACAAAAAACCGTTTAAAAGGTTTTTTCTTGCAAAATGAGGCATTTAAAAGGTTTTTTCTGACAAATTTTCCAGTAGAATACGCCAAAAGGGGGATTTTTTTTTATAATTTTTTCAAATTTGGAATTTCGACTCTCTATTATTGACTTTTCCAAGTTCTAGGGGTGCAGGGCGCTTAATTGCTTATGATTTTATGAGACGAGACAACTTGCGAGCTATTAGAGCTTGAAACTGACTCGAAATATTGATGAGTCGAGTTGACTTGAAAGCTCGTGGAAACTTGAATTTCTTTATACGGTATTATATTTAATAAAAGAAAATTTGTTTAAATTTTTTTTTTATAATAATAATTAATAAATGTACATTATTTATGTAGTCATATGATCATATGTATTTTTTTCAAAAGACAAAATAAAAAAGAAGGAAGAAATGTTACACAAAATAGAGGGTTCTATTAAGACGAATCAAATTGCAAACTACTCGAGATCGGCTCGGTTAAATTTGGTCAAATCTCGACTTGGTCAAAGCTCAGCTTGATATGTTAACGAGTTGAGTTGAGCTACCCCAAACTCGAACTCGACTCACATCATAAGCACCCCTACTAAGGTGTGGCCCTGCCCTCTTTTTGGAAGTTACATATTGTGACCCGCTTGTCTAAAAAAAAAGTGCATAGTAACCTACATCAGCGTTCATTTATGACGAACATTAAAGGGACATATAATACGTCACCTAACACTCCCTTTCTTCTATACCTTTCTCTCTCCTTCAAATTAAATTCCCTCGCTAACTTAGTCTCCATTTCATTTATTCATTCCACTCTAATAAAAAATGACCCTAATTTGCGAAACATAAATTCTTGAAGCGAAGATTTTGTTGTTGTATTACTTGAAGAAAGCTTTCCTTAAGTTGCAATTTGTTGTTAGTGGGTGGCTTGCAATAACATCGTGGGCTAATAAATTACATGCACAAGTCGAATTTAAAGGGAAGGAGCAGCAAGACTTTTGTTATTGACATGATTTGATGTGAGAAAGACAACAATGGAACCCTAAAAAAAGTTAGAGGGGAAAGGGAATTAAATAAAGGAGGAAGATTGCCAAATTATTTGGAGGGAAAGTTTCCCACCAAAACAAAGAACCTATCAAAACGCTGCTTTTAAAAAGATAATAACGAAACCTTATTAACGGAAACATAATAGCAAGGTCACAATTAACTTACTATATAAACAACGTTACAATATGTAACTTCCAAAAAGAGGGGTTACAAGCCTACAACTTGAAAAAGCAACAGTAGAGGGACTAGAGGGTCACTATATAGAATTTTCCTATTAAATTTTATTCTCATGGTTTACCTGATAATTTGACCATAACATAACACAAAATGAGGAAGTTTTTTTTTTTGTTGGTCAAGATCCTAGCTCGTTTAAGTTGATTTCTTGTTTACTTTTGTACTTTTTTTTTTTCTGTTGTCAATTTGTGTTTATGCAATTCAATTCCAAGGTTTTTTTCCCCTATATATATATATAGGGGAGGGATCTGGTGAGAATAGGTTTATATGTGAGAACCCTATTATATATGAGAACAAATCTCAACCATTGGATACCTCATTATCCAACTGTTGAGATTGCTCACATAATAATGGCAAAAATGTAATTTACATTTATTTTTGTTTGGCTCATTTTGAGCCATAATTTTTTGTTCATTTATCAAATGAGCAACAATTCTTTAATTTTTTTTTTTACGTTATTTTTATTTTGTTGTTATTTTTTTGTTTTTTTTTCTCATTTATCAAATGAGCAACATTTATTTGTTCATTTATTAAATGAGCAAACAATATTTCTTTGTTTCTTTTTGCTCATTTATCAAATAAGCAACTATTCTTTGTTCATTTATCAAATGAGCAACATTTCTAAAACATTCAAACTAATATGAAACCTTGAACTTACTTACTATATCTGAAAATGTAAATAACTGTTGGACCATAAGAGACCAACCGTATACTAGTTTATATTATGCACTTCATTTTCTGCCTATTTTTGAAGTAGATGGTTCACAAGGATAAGTTAATACATATTGTTCTGCTCATATCCTTCACAAAAGAGCAAACTGAAATTAAAATGAGCAAACTAAATTAAAATGAGCAAAAACACATACAATAAAAATGCATAAATGAAAATGAACAAACTTATATCAAAATCTCATAAAATTGCTCCATACTATCATCACATAATACAAACTCATTAAACTCATTTTCGATAGCCGAAATCTTTCAATTTCACGTGAATGCGCACCATAATCGTCGTTGAGTGGAGCTCAAAAATGACATAATTGGTCAGAATTTTGAGCTTGATATCTTTGTTATTGATGTTGCAAAGTTAATAACAATTGTGTTAATGGCCATGTTGTTGATGGCGAACATAATCGTCGCCGATTGGAGCTCGAAGACGCAATTATTGACCTGAATTCGAGCTTAATTTCTTTGTTTTTAATGGCGTGAAAACGATGGTTATATGAGCACTGTACAAAGACGCCATGGTTGATTAGAACTTGAGCTTAATTTCTTTGAAATTAATGGCGTGAAGTTGATGATGTATACCGAACAATAGGTGAGAGGAGAGAGAAAGAGAGAAATGTGGAGGTGAAAGAGAGAAATAAGGGGGTTGGTTAAAATACTCTTTTGGTTTTGATATTTAGGGAATAATCACAGCCCTTAGATTTGAAAAATTCAAAGGTCTAGATATATATATATACACACACACACACACACACACACACACACACACACACACACAATATATGTATATATATATATGTGTGAACCACCTTATATGTGAGACCACATTCCTTATGTGAGAACAAATCTCAGCCATTAATCTTATTAAATCCAACAGTTGAGATTAATTACATAAACCTCCTTAAAATTGACTTCTCTCTCCTTAAAACTAAATTTCGTCTCCTTAAAACTGACTTCATCAATGACATCTAATTTAATGGCTCAACCTTGAAAATTTCTCTCTCCTCTTCTTAGCTTGTTCACAAGTACAGAAATTCCGTCAATTATTGAGGTATGTTCATTCCGTCAATTTCTTACTCCTCTTCTTAGCTTCTTGAATTTTTGTTGAAATTATTGAATTTCATGTTGTGATGATTATCGAATTTACTTTTGATTCAAAATTTTCATTACAATTATCGAATTACATGTTAATTTTCGAATTGCATTAATCATTGAATTGCATGTTTAATTGCATCATATCGACTTTTAACTTCAATTTCATCAAAAAAAAATCTGATTTTGTTCGATTTCCTGTGCGTTTCCTGTTTAATTTTTGTTCGGATTTTTTTCGACTTCTTGTGCGATTTCATGATCTGATTTTTTGTTCAATTTTTGTGAGATTTTATATGCCAATTTCATCGATTTTATATGGATTATTGGTGCATTTTTATGATACTTATGAATATCCTGATAGCGCATACAAGGTGTTTGATAAAATGCTTGTTAGAAATCTTGTGACTTGGTACTCTATTATCAATGAGTTTGTTTTGAATA